TGCATATCCCTGTGCATCTGAATTTTGGTATAAACTTGGCTTCATGAGCCAGACATGAATTTACTTGTACAAGTACCAAATTTACATACATAAGCGTATACATGCAACTGTTCACTGACCTCAGGCTTCTCTTTTAAAAACTGGCTCATCGTTGTATATGTTGAGAAGACAAAAAGCTTTTCAAGATGTCATTGCTACGGAAACTAAAAATGATAATGCTTAACTAATTTACGCAATTCTTTGCTAAACAAATCCATGTGCCAGAAGTTGACTGAAATTCTCCCTTCCAGATGTCCTGCAACTTTGAAGGTGTTAACAAGAACGTGGATTAGGGTGACCCAGTTAATATAGTCATACAGCTGGAAGGGGCCTCCAGGTCATCTACTCCAGTGTTTCTCAACCCACGGGTCACAAGAATATATGAAAGGGTTGTGAACAAACTTTAAAAATGGATTCTCCTTTAAAGGAGAAAAATAAAGGGAAACTGTGGCTTTTCCCTTGCATTCTGGCAGAGTTCCAGCCTGCAATGGGCTGCTTGGGGCCCACCTGCCCCACACACCTGGAGGCCTGGGCAGGAGGTCAAGACTGAGGGGCACTGGGTCAGGACTGGCCATTGATGTTTACAAATGGGCCTTGGTACAAAAAAGGTTGAGAACCACTGATTGACGCCAACCCTCTGCCTGATGCAGGATTATCCCTATCCAAACCATCCCATACAACCATAATCTAAACTGTACATAAGACTAAACTAATATACCTGGGCTTCCAAAAAGCCTTGTACAAAGCCCCATATCAAAGGCTCTTAATAAAATTGCGTTGTCACATTAAAAACAATGGCTTCAAGATAGAAAGCCATGAGTAGGTGCAAATGGCTGGTTTCCAGAATGGAAAGAAGTAAACAGCCAGGCCCCTGCCCTTTCACTTGTTTGACTCTTCTGGTGCAAGGAACTTGGAAAGGCCACAAGCCAATGCTACGGATCCCTATTTGACATCTCTGGGTTTATCTTACGAATTGTGTTTTCCTGCCTGACAGTGTTGGTGCTGCCTGGCACCCCACCGTACCCTGGAAAGGAGCTCAAGGCACCCCAGGGGGCTGCAGCAACCAGGCTGACAATCATGGGGCTAACGGTGAGGCCGCCAAGCAGAGAACTCTGCCCAACACCCACTGCCCCCTGAAGATGGCACAGAGCCTGTGGATGTGCCGGACGAGCACTGCAGCCCAGCCCTGGAAGTGATGCCTCAGAGGTCCTTATGTAAGTTCACCAGACTTAGCACCGACCGTCACTCACACCAGCCTTGCAGCACAGGGCAGAGAAGGAAACCAACCAGTGTTGCCAGGTGTACAGTAATTATTGTATTTGTACAATCATTTCAACCCTTGTACAATATACAATAGATAACACTGTTAAAAATGTACAATAATTTTTGAGACAGTTCACTGATACAGCAAATGCAAACCCTGGTCACTCTCAGGGAGTCTTAACCGACTTTCTAGTTCACTGCCACCACTTCCTTATAATCTCTTGCCTGGAAATAAAGAAATGCGTCAACTTTGAAGACCCAGTTCTCACTCGCTGGACGGTTACAGTGAGCAATAAAAAGTAAATAAGAACTAAGCTAAATTTGCATCCTTTTTTTTCAGTGTGTGACAGTTTTTTTCAGAAAATACGATCGTTTGAGCATTTAATACGATGTTTTCATATTTAAGAACTGGCAACGCTGGGGGGAGGCGGGAGCTTGGGATTGGCGGGGCTGCAGAGCCGCACTCACCTCCTGGAGGCGCGGGGGGACCCCGGGGAGGACTCCGCCCTGCTCATTCCGCCCTACCCGGGCCGCCAGGCTGGGCTGGGCTGGTGTCCTCGGTGGCACAGGAGGGGCCGCTTCCGGGCTTCCTACGGGGCCCGCGGGGGACAACCGCCAAGGAAACGCGGAAGGCCTCCCCCACTCCCGAGCGCCTGAAGCTGCTCTTCGGAGAAACTCCGACCTGCAACCGCGACGCTCAACTGAAAACCTCGGCACAAGCAACCGAGCAAACCGCCACCGGCAGCTCCGCCCAGTCGTCGCGAGCCTTACATCGCCGGCGCGTTCTCCCGCCCAATCGGCTCTCGCTGCACAGCGCGCCCCACGCCGCGCCAGCGTCCCTGGGAAATGTAGTTCTCAGGGCCGGGCCCTGAGGCCGGAATCGAGCGCGGGGGCTGCGGCGGGGCGCGGGGCATCGCCCCCGCGGGCAGTGAACAGCGCCCATCGCCACAGAAATACGCGTTCACACACCAAGGGGGATCCCCTCTCTACTGTGCAGAAATGTTGAGCTTTTCCCCATGGCTGCCTGACCATCAGCATGCAACCCCGGCTGCTGCATGGCAAGCTGCCACGCGGGCTGCAATCGCAGACGGGCTCCTCCTTGCACGTGCACTTTACACCCTCCTTACCAGGGGCAGGGCTAGCTTTGAGACCCGCTATCATGCACACGCACTTTGAGCCCCGCCCCCATCTGTCTGTCACCCACTGACTCTTCAATTTACATCTTCCCTGACCATGAACCACGCGCGCCTCCAGTGGCTGGGGGGCATGGCAGTGGTAGGAGCATGGTGGCGGTAAGCAGGGCAGCTCCCACAGATGCTGCCCGTGCTGTTGGTGGCAGCCAGCAGGGATCATGGAGGGCCCATGGGTGCCAGCGACAGTGTAGGGGGTGCCCTGCTACGCTCAAGGGGCTGTATATGCATCCCCTACGCATTGCCCCTGTCCCTGACTGCCTTTCTTGCATGCATACCAGCCTTCTTTACTATTCCTTCCATCCGGGAAGAGCTCAGAGACCAACTGCAGATGCCTCCTCAGCCGGACGAAGGGTTTTTAAACCAGAAAGCTTGCTAAGAAAAAAAATTCTCTTTAGTTGGTCTAATAAAAGATATCAGATTTACCCAAAGAACCTTGTCTGCCTATAGTTTACACTAGACACATACACATGAGCGCTGTTTGATCTACACGCAGTTTGATCTACACACACCTGCAGTTTGATCTACACATACGCGCACTGTTTGATTGACACGCACAAGTGTGCATGCTTTGTTGAATCTAGACTGGGGGACTCCTGTGGGCTGGATCCAGACCCAACAGTGGTTTTGGATCCAGCAGCAGTGACACACAGGTTAACGCAGGCATCGCTCCCAACACAGGGCTCCATGCCAGGGAATTTGACAGAAGGCCTCAGTCCAACCCTGTATTCCAGGAGCCCTGTGGGGCAGGTGAAATTCCCTGCAGGCCCAATCTGGCCCATGGCCATGTATTTTATACTCCTGATATAAATATAGCTGTAGTATGCAGTTCTAAACCGTTATGTTGGGAGTTCAGCAACAACACTCTGGACACTACTGTGTTGAACTACAGTTATTTATTATTATAATTCTCTGGAATCATATCCAGGGTGGATCTTAACAATTGCCCTAGTATGCATGCAAAATTTACACTTGTTCTGTCTCTGACTTTGACCTGGCCCAGTCCTGATGAGTGAGAGGAACCAAGAATATATCTCCTGGCTCCTCCGGGGGGGGGGAAAATGGAGTCCCCATCCCCTGTGCTGCAAAACTGCAACAAAACAAACAACTCTGCAGTGCTGAACATGAGAGCTTTGGCCTTAAAGGGACAGTGAGGGAAAATACAATAAGATACAACACCCCTTCCCCCTAGACAGAATATCAGCCAATCATTTGGGAGGGCTCCGCTTCTG